CTACTACTACTACTACTACTACTACTACTACTACTACTACTACTAATACTACGACGACGACGACGACGACGACGACGACAACGACTACTACTACTACGACTACTACTACTACTACTACTACTACTACTACTACTACTACTACTACTACTACTACTACTTCTACTAGTAGAAAACTCCCCAAGGGGGTCGTCGGAGACGCCAAAGGCGTTTAAGTCCGAGGAGGAGAGGAGAAAGAAAGGACGGAGAGGGAGGGCTCGGAGGCCCCTGGAGGGGGGGATGTGCCCATCCGAGGGAACGGTGCACCCCCCCCTTCCCCGTCGTGGAAACGAGGCACCAGCCGTGGCAACGACCCCCCCCTCATCCCCCCCGGCGACCTGAGTAGACCACCCAAGCCAGCGGGGAGCGTCACAGGGGGCGGGGCTTCTGACGTCGATGAAAGAAGGAGGATAGCGGGAGGCAAGGAACAGGCAGACGAAAACCCTTTTAGGCTGCACCCGGCGTGTGGGCATGCCCTTTTTGGTTGTTGCGGGGGCAAGCCCGCGCGGTCGCCCGCAGGCGACTGGGCGCCCTGGCCCTCTTCGTGAGCGCGCAGGCGCGTGGCGTACTTCATGCGCATGATTGCCCGCTGAAGCGCCCCGCGGCACGACAGCGACGGTAAAGGGACAAATTCGGTGACGCTGGAGCCCCTAATGCGACGAGGGAGCTACAGATGCATCTTCTGTGACACTGGAGCTCCGCAGGACAAGTCAGCTCAGCCTGCCTCAGCCTCAGCTTGCATCAGCCTCAGTCTCAGCCTCAGCCTGCGTCAGTCTCAGCCTGCTGCGTTCCCGCATGCCCTTCGGCCTCAGCCTGCCTCAGCCTCAGCCTGCATCAGCTTCAGCCTCAGCCTCAGCCTCAGCCTGCCTCAGCCTCAGCCTGCTGCGCTCCCGCGTACTCCTGCGGCCTCAGCCTGCATCAGCCTCAGCTTGCGTCAGCCTCAGCCTCAGCCTCAGCCTCGGCCTCAGCCTCAGCCTCAGCCTCAGCCTCAGCCTAAGCCTGCCTCAGCCTCAGCCGCGCCTCCGATGGCGCCGAGGTGGCTCCCGTGCGTACCTGCACCCGCGGAACTCACCTCCGATGGCGCCGAGGTGGCTCCCGTGCGTACCTGCGCGCGCGGAGCGCTTCTCCGATGGCGCCGAGGCGGTTCCCGTGCGTACTTGCGCGCACGGAACGCAACTCCGATGGCGCCGAGGTGGCTCCCGTGCGTACCTGCGCGCGCGGAACGCACCTCCGATGGCGCCGAGGTGGCTCCCGTGCGTGCCTGCACGCACGGAACGCACCTCCGATGGCGCCGAGGTGGCTCCCGTGCGTACCTGCGCACACGGAATGAGCTCCGCCGGATTCACCCGGTTTCTGCCGGCTTCCGTCCGGGCCATCCTGGAGTGTCATGATGCTCTCTTTTGACCCTAGTAGAAACCTATCAGCACAAGCTGTTAGGTAAATCTGGGGCATCTTTTTATCTGTGAGGGGGCCTTCGTCGCCAACGCCGGATTCGCTCCGAACTGCGGGTCGGAGCGCACCTCCCGGGGAGGTCCGGGGAGGAGCAGCGGTGTCGGGACCTTTTTGGTTCTCCCAATGTGGCAGGCAGCGGGTCGGCGCGGAGCGCTGTTGGGCCGCGCAGGGCACACAGGAAGAGCCACAAACTCCTCCTCCTCCTCCTCCTCCTCCTCCTCCTCCTCCTTCTCCTTCTCTCGGTTCTGCTCCGCCGCCTCCCTCCTCCTCCCTCTCCTTCATCCACCACCACCACCTGCTCCTCCACAACCACCTGCTTCCTTTTCACGGCCACAAGCTTCTGCCCGTCCTTCTCCTCGCCTTCAAAGGGCAACGGCATTGGCAAGTGCCCTTTTTCGAAAAGTGGAAGGGCGAGGGCCGCATCCTCCATGCAGGGTGAGGCCGCGCCAGGAGAAGGATTTCAGCTTCGAAAAGAAACGGAAGGGCAGGAAAAGGGAGAGAAAACCTGCTAGTTCACCATGCCCACACCACGACAAGCAGGGCCCGCGGCGAAGCGAAGTCAGCTCCTATGCTCCGCCTCCGCCAGGAGTGTTCTACGTGACGAACCAGTACATGCATGTGACCCAAAAGAAACCTGTATGTCGTGGGCCAACGACGCGTCCGACTCCGAGCGTTCATCGCCTGCCGCCTCCGCCACGCATCGTCGGGACCCCCATCGAGGAGAGGGCCGAGAAAGCTGCCGCCGCCCTTGCCCAAGGCACGACCGAAGGCTTCTGCACACGGGGGCGACGAGACGGTGAAGGCCAGGGAGAGGAAGAGGCTAAACCACCTCAAGACAAGCAGAGCGTGCATTAACATCATGACGAGGATGGGGATCTACACTACTTGGAGAAGTATCTCGCGGCCTAACGTCTTTGCCGAGAGGTTCCTGCAGGCGTCGTTCGTGGTGCCGATGAATGCAGGGTTGATGACACGCTGGAGCAGACAGCTACTGGCGGATTGGCTGGATCTGACGTCGTACATGGTCATGCTGGTTGAAGCAGTAATGGAGCTTTAGTGGTGTCGGTGGTGGTTGGTGGTGCTGATCGTTGGCCTGAGGTGATTTCTGAACTCCTCCCTCCTCCTCTTCCGTCCTCCTCCTCCTCCTTTTCCCCTTTCTTCTCGATCGTCCTCCTTCTTTCTCCCCCGCCTCCTCCTCCTCCTCCTCCTCCTCCTCCTCCTCCTCCTCTTCCTCCTCCTCCTCCCACCCCCCCAGAATCCTCCGACCCCTTTAGGAAACTTCCAGAAACCTTCCAAAAACCATGGGAAGCATCAGAAAGCTTCAGGTCAACTTCGAAAGCATTCCTCCTCCTTCTCCTCCTCCTCCTCCTCGGCCGCCTCCTCTCCCATCTTCTTGTTCCTCCTGTTCCTCCTGCTTCTCTCCCTGTTCCTCCTGCTCCTCCTCGGTCCGCTCCCTTCTCCTCTTCTCCTCTCCTCCTCTCATCCTCTCCTCCTCAGTCTCCTTCTTCGTTTCCTTGTCCTCCTCCTTCTCCTCCTCGCCCGCCCTTCCTCCCTGACGCGTGGGTGTGCGGCGAAGGCGGCCGGGGCCGCCGTGTTCCTCGACAGCCTGGCGGACTGCTCGGGCCGCGCGCGCGCGCGCCCCCGCTTGCGGCGCCGTCGACGTCGACGCCGTCGACGTCGACGCCGTCGACGCCGACGCCGACAACGCCGACGCCGACGACACTGACCACGGTTACGCTGCCGACGACGAGAGCGACCTCGCTGCCGACGCCGACGCCGATGCCGACGACGCCAGCGACGACGGTGGCGACGCGGACGACGACGTCTCTGGCCGCTTTGAGCTTCTGGAGGCTTCCAGAGACGTGTGGAAATGCCAGGAGGCCGAAGGCGGAGGAGGAGGAGGAAGCCGACGCAGGCGTTTTATGTCGCGGCGCGGCAGAGGCAATCCGCTCGCGCGTGGGGGCAACGCTGGGACACGGAGTCGCGAGTTGGCCCGCATGCCAGAGGAGAGGAGGGAGGAGAGAGAGAGAGAGAGCGGCCGCAGGGAGGGGGCCGGAGCGCGGGGGCAGCCTCACGCAGCGAAGCCGCGGGGAGCGCGCGGGGGCGGCCAGGCCGAAGGGCAGCCCCTGGCATCAATCGCAGGGCGGCATCACGACGCAAGGAGGAGGATGAGGAGGAGGAGGAGGAGGAGGAGGAGGAGGAGGAGGAGGAGGAGGAGGAAGAGGAGGAGGAGGAGGAGGAGGAGGAGGAGGAGGAGGCGGAGGAGGTGGGGCCAGCAGCCGCAGTACGACGGCGCGGACAGGGAAGTCCAGCGGCCCTCCGTCCGTGCAGCTCTCGGGCAGGGTTCGTGACGAGGGTGCGCCACGAATGCAGGCGCGCGCAGCTGCGGGACAGTCGAAGTTCCAGCGGGAAGAGTTGCGAGGACGGGCGAGTCGGGCGGGGCGGGCCCAGGAGCAGGTCGGGCTCGTCCCTCTACAGGAGGAACCTTCCCAAAGAGTCAAACAATAGTCCAGGGACGATGTTTCGAGTAATGTTTGACATTTTTTTAAAGCGCCCAAAATCCGCCTGTAGGGGGACATGCCCGACCTAAGCCTAGGACGAGGATCAATTCGTTTCAGAGCGCCCTGGAACGTTCTCAGTTCGTTCCGGAACGCTCTGAGAATGCCGCGGCGCCCGAGACATCTTCGAGAGCCGCCGGATCTCAGAGTGTCTCGATTTGTCTTCACACGATTTTATCATCGTTCTGGCTACATCTTAGGAGGAGGATCGAGGCTGTTTTTTTGTTCAAGGAGAAGATGGGCAGGAGGAGGGGGAGGAGGCGGGACGGGGAGCAGGACCGCAGGTGAGTGTGAAGGAGGAAGAGCAGGAGGAGCAAGGAGCAAGACGAGAAGGGGGGAGGAGAAGAAGGACGAGGAAGCAGGAGGATCGTCGGCGAGCGAGGGGGGGAGTGAGAAGGAGAAGGCCGTCTCAGAAGTCGGCGGGGCTTCCCAGAAGCTTTCCGGCCTCCTTAGAGGTCCGCTGTATCTTCGGGGAAGGCTCGGAAAGCTTCTCATATCGCTGGGGAGCTTCCAGGCCTTCTGAGAAGGCCCGCCCCTTCTCTCTTCCCCCCCAGGCTCGCCGCCGAGAGGAGGAGGAAGGAGGATGAAGAAGACGGACAGGGGAAGAGGAGAACGGCGCAGCAGGAATAGGAGGAATGAGGAGGAGGAGGACCAGCAGAGACCCAAGACGCAACAACGATGTTGCAATCAACCCTCCCTCCAAGTTCCCCCGTCGTATGGCCCTACAAGAATTTGTTGTCATTGCGGGAAGTGCCCAACTGGAAGACAACTGTCCGAGAATCCCCAATCGTACCAAAACACGTGTCCTGGGACGTCAATGCCGCGAATCAACGTGACTGTTGCGTCCTGACGGTCCTCAATCGTGCCAGAACGCCGTTCCTGGGATTTTAACACCGCGAGACTAATGCGTCCTGACAACCCCGAATTACGCCAGGGCACCTTGGACTTCCTCTAGTCAAATTCTTGAAACTGTTGCCAACATTTTCACACGAGTGTGCGCAGCGCTAGAAGTGATGCCCTTCATCTTTGAAACCGCTGCATGCTTTGAAACGAATGTGCGCAGCGCCCAAGCGAGAGCACCATTTTGAAAACCACCCGCCCTCCATCTTTGAAGCTGTTGCTTCAAGTTTGACGCTTCAATCTCATACATGGTGAGGCAGTCTCAGTCGAAACGCCAGGTCCGCTCTACTGACACGTCGGGGGATGCGACAGGGAGCAGTTGCTTATAAGGAAACGATGGAGGATGAGGAGGATGCGCAGGAGGAGGAGGAGGAGCAGGAGGCAGCACCTACAGATAAGATCACATGTCGTGAGTGAGCGAGGAGGACGAGGAGGAGGAGGAGGAGGAGGAGGAGGAGGAGGAGGAGGAGGAGGAAGAGGAGGATGTGGACGAGGACGAGGACGAGGACGCGGACGAGGAGGAGGAGGAGGAGGACGAGGAGGAGGAGGACAAGAAGGAGGAGGAGGAGGACGAGGACGAGGACGAGGACGAGGAGGAGGAGGAGGAGGAGGAGGAGGAGGAGGAAGAAAAAGAGACCGCCCCTTCGCCGGCGGCCCGCGCGCCCCGCCGCCGCAGATGACGACGGCGGGGCGCCCCGCGACTCGCAGCTGGACGGCGTGGCCCTCGACGACGGCGACGCGGCAGGCAGGATGGCGGACGAGGCCCGCGGGACTCGGAGAACAGCACTCTGCAACCTAAGCTGTCGGGGATCCCCGCAAACTTCTTGGGTCGGCGCTGGAGACCCCGAGACCCCTCCCTGGGTCGTCGCCACGGCTGGATCCGCTTCAGGCTTCGGGTCAGAGCGCGCCCCTGCACAGGTCCAGGGGTCGAACCTGCACTTCGTTGCGTCAAGTATACACCGACACCGATCCTGGCCCGGCGGTGTATATAATTTCCCGCGGTTCAAGCCTGGAGGGCTCAGGAAGGAAAAACAAACACAGACACAATTAATCGTCGAGCCCCAGGAAAAGATGGGAAAACATGGTAAGTGGGGGGGAAGACAAAAACCGAACATACGGGAGAAGATGGATAATCTTTTTATTTGTGTGTATTTATTTGTGAATCCCGGGGCCCCTTCAAGGGCGTGTGCGCCGATCCCGTGCCCCAGATGGGCCTGGCCAGGATCGGTGCAGGTGTGCAGATGGCGTCCGCCTGCTGCCGGGAGGGCGGTCGCAGACCTCCGATGTCAACCCTTCAAGGTCCTCCTCCTCCTCCTCCTCGTCCTCGTCCTCGTCCTCGTCCTCGTCCTCCTCCTCCTCCTCCTCCTCCTCCTCCCCCTCCTCCTCGTCCTCGTCCTCCTCCTCCTCCTCCTCCTCCTTCTCCTCCTCTTTCGCAGGTCTTAGCACGGAGGAGTCCACTCCCCACTGGGTGGGGAGCTGGCACTGCTCATCGATCTAGGGGCTCGGGTGGCCCAGGCAGCACCCCATGCGGCCTGGACGCGGGGTCAAGACCTCGCCAGGCAGGCCCAGGATGAGGATGAATCGTTCCAGAGCGTTCTGGAGCGCTCTGGAACGGCCGCGGGCCGGATACTTCTCTTTATCCTCATCCGGGCACGTCCCCATCCTGCCTTCCTTCGTTTTCAGCCGCTGGCGGCTGGCTCCCCCCACGCACCGCGGCTGCTGGAGACCATACCTTCGGCAGGGGGGCTCAGAAGACGCTACGATGTCTGGCGCGGATGTGAATGTCTTGGCGAGTTCGCCGGACTGCGACGGCCACGTCTACTACACAGGGCTTATTTCGATCCGATTGATCCAGCTCGTTATCGGTTTCGGCCAGCCAGATCCTGTTCGACTCCTAATTTCCGACGGCTCGACGCGACCCGACGCGACCGGATGCTCGCATGGCGCTGTGGTGCATCCTGACGCAGCGGATCGATGCAGTTCGGTCCGACGCACATGCCGATTCGATCCCGAGGATTTTCTTTGGGTGGAGGGCAAAGGGCGAAATCTGAAATGCCGTTTCGATGGATTTTCGAGGCTCGAATTTGCAAAAGGTGCATCACAAGACGGCTTGACTTTCGAGGTGCAGCAGCCCATATGGACTTAACCCTGGACCCTCCACCTGGAGGAAATGCTCAGCGATCCGAACTGCCGACTCGGTTCGGAAGCCGGGCAAGGGCTGCTAAATCCGTGGCTGCTAAAATCGACCTCCGGGAAGTTGTCTTCGTCCTCCCGGGAAGAAGCCCGTTGACTGTTTCGCGTGCCGCGCCTCATTCCGGGAAGCTTTTTATTTCCTTCCGGGAGGGCCCTTTTAGCAGCCACGGTTTTAGCAGCCCTCGCCCAGCTTTCGATCGGTGCTGATGGATCTTGCGCCTTGGCGAGTCCGCCGGACGGTGACGGCCGCCCGCCCCGACGACGCCAGCAGCGCGCGCGCGCGCCCCCAGGGCGGCGGCGCGTCCGCGGGCGGCCTGGCCGACCTGCCCCTGCGGCCGGCCGCGGCCGGGGGCCTCCGGGGCGCGTTGAGGGCGCCAGGCGGCGGCGGCGGCGTCGGCGTCGTCGTCGGCGTCGTCGTCGTCGGCGTCGGCGTCGTCGTCGGCGGCGGCGGCGGCGGCGTCCGCTTCGTCGTCGTCGTCGTCGTCTCCGTCGTCGTCGTCGTCGTCGTCGTCGCCGTCGCCGTCGTCGTCGTCGTCGGCGGCGGCATCGTCGGCGGCGGCGGCGGCGACGACCCTCATATCCAGTCATCCCCAAGGAATTTTGTCACGGTCAGCTTTTGGCAGTTTTGGGCCTGGAGCAGTTTCCTGGCCCTGGGATTGGCAAAAACTGCTCAGGGGGGAAAGCCGGTCCCGAGGAAAGGGTCGAGACCTCCCCGGGTCCAAGTTGCGAAACGAATCACGACGTCGGGGAACGTCGGGGATCTGGGACGGCTGTGGCGACGACGGGAATGATGGTGGCGGCGGCGACGGTGCCAGCGCCGGCCACTGATCCTCGTCCTCGTCATGCTTCCCCCTTCTGCTGCCTATCATTCTTCTTTTTCTCGTCCTTTCCTCCTCCACTCCCCGCCTCCTCGCCGGCGTCCCTGATCGAGGTTCGAGCAGTGGAGGGTTTCTCCGAAGAGCTTAGGCGACCCGTCCTCCTCCTCCTCCTCCGCCTCCGCCTCCTCCTCCTCCTCCGCCTCCTCCCACTCCTCCTCCTCCTCTTCCTCCTCCTCCTCCTCCGCCTCCGCCTCCGCCTCCTCCTCCTCCTCCTCCTCCTCTTCTTCCTCCTCCTCCTCCGGTCGCCTACGGCCCCCAGGGAAACCGTACTCCTCCCAGCCGGCGTCCCTGGTCGAGGTTGGAGCACTTCCCCTTGGCTGCGACTCTCGTCGGGGCAGCTGACAGACTCCCCGGCCCCGCCGATGTCTCGGCGTCTCGCAGGCCAATCGTGCCCCTGCCTCCTCCTCCTCCTCCTCCTCCTCCTCCTCCTTCCTCCTCCTCCCTCCTCCTCCTCCTCCTCCTCCTCCTCCTCCTCCTCCTCCTCTCCTGTTCTGCCACATGTTCTGATGTTCTGCCGTGGTGTGCCGCCCATCCTGTTCCGCCTCCGCTGCTGGCCGACGCCACCTCGGGGCGCGCAGGGCACGTAGCCGTCCAGCATGCACAAGTGCGGGCGCTGGCCGTGCCCAACCGCACCCCACCGCGGAGGTCACCCTGCCGCAGGAGCTCGGGGCGCACGTGGAGGCTCGGCCTGCTGCCGACCGTGGTCCTCGACGTGGCGCTGCGCCCTCGGAGGTGTTCCTGCCCGTGGCCAGGTGCCCTGCTTCTGCGGCCGTCGCGCTGCCAGTTCGTCGCGCTCCTGGAGCTGAGGATGATCATGCTGTTCGCGCTGGTGCTCCAGCTCTGCCTCGTGCAGGCCCTGCTGCACGGCTTCCTGCTAGTTACGAGGATCGTGCTCTAGCCTCGTGTTGGCCCTGCTGCACGTTCAGCTGGTGCTGAGCTTCCAGATGCGCACAGGCGGGAGGCGTCGGGCGTGCTGTCGCGCGCTGCTGCCGCCGCCCAGTCCCATGGCCTGCCTCGAGGCGGGCACCCCTGCGGGCGGAGCCGGGCCCTGGGAAGTACCCGAGAGGGGAAAAGGAAGGGGCTAGGCAGTGAGGGCCGTGCAGTCGAGGAGGCTGCTGCCCCAGGAGCTGCTGCTGCTGCTGCCGCGGATACCTTGTCGTCGGAGCTCGCAAGTACCGTCGCGGAAGCTCTTGCTGTGAGGCCCAGTACGGCTGCCGCCAGGGCTGCCACCCCTCTGGCGGCTGCGAGCCCGCTAGCCGCGCTCTTGGGCTGCGTGGCCCCGGCGCCGTGCAGCGGCAGTCCGTCGCGCCCGCGAGGTGGTGCTGGGAGATACGCTGCCTGGCGCCACCCAAACGGTCGATCGGCAGGCGGAGGACGAGGTCCATCCTGTCGCTCGCCTGGCGGGCGCCGATCGCTTCGCGGCGACCGCGCAGCAGGCAGCCTACATAGTCGGAGTTCAGGAGTCACAAGGCTGCGCGGCCGAGCGGCGGACAGAGAGGCTGTGGGTGGCCGGGCGCACGCGGCGGGCGGGAGCTCTAGGCGGACGCCATGGGTGGACGCCGCCTCGACGCCACGACGCAGCGGCTCGGCTGGCGGAGGCCGAACGTCCCGCCGGGTGGTGTGCCGAGTGGGTGCCGCTGCACACTCAGCGCACGACCACGTTCTCGTCCGGCCTGCAGCCGACGCCGTGTTGGCCGACTCCTTATTCAGGAGGGGAAAAACACACAGACACAATTATTCGTCGATCCCCAGAAAATATGCGAAAATATGGGAAGTGGGGGGAAGACAGAAACCCAGAAAATATGGGAAAATATTGGGAATCTTTTTATTTGTGTGTATTTATTTGTGTGTCTGTGGGCCCCTTCACTTGTGCGACCTTCTGGCGACAGGCGGACGGGCCCTTTGCCGAGCGCGCAGCGGCTCGGCATTCCTGCGCTGGGCCGCCGCCGCCGGACCGGGCACCTGGCCCTGACGCTTCCATCAGGGGCAACGATAGGGGGGATAGGCATAGGGGGGATGCATCGACCCCCAATCGCCCATTGATCGCCGATGGGGGCCGATAGCCCCAACCTGCCCAGGAAAGTGCGGATTCACTATCGGAGGCCTATCGCCGATCTATCGGTCGGCGATGCATCGCCGATTCCAGGTCGATGCGTCCCCCCCGTATGCCAGTCCTTCCTATCGTTGCCCCTCATTTCAGCAGAGGCCACAGCAGTGAAAGCGTGCTGCGGCAGGCGCCACCTCTCTGAGCAGAAGCTCCGCACACTAACGAGGCCATCGCCCATGCTTACAGTGATCGCGACTGCGGCGCCCGCAGCGCTATTTCGTTTTGAACATCACGGCAATGGTGCAGAGGATGAGTGTTTTTTTGCGAGGGGAGTAAAGTAAAGGATTGCCAGTCTGTATCCCAGACGTCATGTTCCCTTCCTTCCCCGCCTTCCCCCTCCCTTCATGTATGCCTCCCTCCCTTCCGCCTTCCTCCCCCTGCAATGCCTGAGAGGCGCCTCTTCGTCTCAGGTAGTTTGTGCTGTGCATGTTGATGTCTCGCGTCGCCGCTTGCACGTGCAAGTAGGGGGCGCGTGCGCGTTCGGTATAGGAGGTCCGAGGTCGAAACGATCTGGGCGTTCTCGATCCGTGACCCAGTCTCCTTCTGTCTTTTCGTTATTCCCCTCACTCCAGCCGAATTGTGTTGCATTGTTGGCTCGTTGTAGTGCCCTCGGGCGCTTCAGTGCGCAGATGAATTCTGTTATTGCTGTCGTCGTCTCGTCCCTCGTGACAGGCTGGGGTGTGAAGATCACTCCCACTCCCACTACCACCAGGGTCACCATTGAGAATGACGGCAGATGAGTGTATATTGGGTCCGCTTTCACTGGTTTCGACGCCCGTCTTTCGGCCAGGCGTCTGGCCAGCTTCTGTGTGCTCGCGCATAGGACTGGGGAGCGAGTCGGAGGCAATAGGTCCGAGTCCCAACCTGTTCCCTCCCTCCCTCTCATTCTTTACTTTGTCCCTTCCTCCACCCTCAAGCCTTCTGTCGATAACTTGAGCCGATGCGGGCCAAGCTGCTTGATGTTGAGGTGGGGGTGTTTGGAGAGGAGGGTGTGATGGACATTCGTTGGATGCAGTCCGTCTCTAGCCTCGGTTCTTTTTGGGCGACGCGCCCCGTCGGCTTCGTCGCTGAGGTTCTTTTGCTGTGCGTTTCTTACTTGGCGCCCCGGCAGAAAGTCCTAGTTGCACTAATGTTCTGCGAGATGCGCGCCTTCTTCTGCTGACAAGCTCCCAGCTTAATCAGCATCGCGAGTTAACACGTCCTCTCCTACCCCTCACCTCGTCACCTTGTTCCTCTTCCCCATCGTCCTCCTTCTCTTCACCCTTCGTTCCTCTCCTTGTCGTCGTCGTCCTCATTCTCTTTGTCTCTTCCGCTGCCCCTCCGTGGGAACCTCCGACACGCTTGGGAGCTGTCGAAAACATGAAAACGTCAGACAAACTGATCGTTATCGCCCCCTCGCCCTCCGCCACCGACGACGAAAACGACGGCGGCGAGTCCAACGGTGGCGACGACGATGGCGGCGACGACGTCGAGGAGGAGGGCGATGACGACAACGAGGGCGGCGGGGACGACGAGGATGTCGACGCCGCCGATGAATTTGACGAGAACGACGGCGATGGCGGCGACGACGCCCAGACCTGTGCTGGGGCGCTCCAGGGAGCCCGATGCGGTCACAGCCCGGGCGACCACGGCGCCTCTGGAGAAGCAGAGGGGGCCGACAGCCCTTTCGATCCTCGTCGTGGTCGTCGTCGTCGTCGTCGTCGTCGTCGTCGTCGTCGTGGTCGCTCGTCGCTCGTCGCGTCGCGCGCGCGGGCGCGGCTGCGGTGCCGGAGCCACACGGCGGGGGGGGGCGTTACGTCATACCCCCCCCTCGCCCCCCCCCCCCCATGACGCCCGTCATCGCCGAACATAAAGAAACGCGCTCCTTGATCCTCGGGTTTGCTCCTGCCACGAGTCCAAAGGGAGCTCAGTTCGGCCGTGGCGTCGAGAGCGCCTGAGCAAGGGTGCCCAAGCTCCTCGATCCTCGAGCCTAGAGATCTTCGAGCCTCGGTTCACGAATCTCGATCGATTGACGTTGCCGACGACGGTCTCCAGAGGTCCCTGCAGGCGTCCGAGGGCTCGAACAGAACAAACAACCGATTACAACATTTTTCACGCTTCGCGTATCCCCACCTGCCCCACTGGCGACTCACTCCAATGGCCTCCGCCTCGCTCCCACTCAGCACGACGGGCGTGACCATCCTGGTTCACGTTACTGCTGTGTGGTTCGTGCCTCCACTCAGATTGACGGGCTTGGTTATCCTGGTTCACGTCTCATACTGTGGCAGGCTCCGAATTCCATGACATTTTGTCTGTGCGCGTGCTCGAGCTCGCAGGATACCCCCGTCGTCAGCTCCCCTTCAGCTTCGCGGCTGCTTTGTGAGCGGGCCGGCCGGCCTGTGCCTGCTGTAGCTAATTAGCCTCGTTCGTGTCCCGGGCTTTGCTTCTCGCCGCCTGACCTTTGTCTCGTGGCCGCGACCGAGAAAGTATCCCCACCTGTGTGTGTTTGCCGGTTCGCCGCCGAGGTGCTGCGTGAGGCTCTTTCCGCCGCCTTAGGTGTGGCTGCGCCCCGTCGCTTTAGGCTAATTCGTCGTTGCGTGCCCCGCTTCTACTGGACCCGCCGCTGGCGTGCTCGCCTGCGGCCGCTGACCCAAAAAGTATCCCCACTTGTCTGAGTGGCAGCGCAGGTCGCCTGCGCGCTCGTGGCTTAATTTAGATCGTGGATTGCTGCTTCGCTCTGACGGCGCCGGGCACACCTGCGCGCTCGCGAACAAAGCGTATCCCCACCAGTGTGCGCTAATTTAGGCCGTTGCATCGACGCTTCGTTCTGACGGCGCCCAGCGTTTTCTGGTGCGCTCGCGATCAAAAAAGTATCCCCACCTGCCCGTTCGGAAACCCTGCCCATCAGTGCTGACAGGAAAAGGGACGGGGGACGCAGATGGTGAAACGAAACGGGCAGCCAGGACGAACAGAGAGATCTCTGAGAGCAAGGGGGTGGCCTTGGAGGGCCTCTTCGGGCCATCCCTGGGGCCCGCGGGGGGGCGAGGGGAGGAGGAGGAGGAGGAGGAGGAGGAGGAGGAGGAGGAGGAGGAGGAGGAGGAGGAGGAGGAGGAGGAGGAGGAGGAGGAGGAGGGGAGGAGGAGGGAGGAGGAGGAGGAGGAGGAGGAGGAGGAAGAGGAGGAGAAGGAGGCAACCAGCCTCTTGGGGCCCTCGTGTGACGCTCTTGGGGCGCTCTTGGTCGCTCTTGCGGCCGTCTTGGGGCCGTCTTGGGGTCCTCTTGGGGTCCTCTTGGGGCCCTCTTGGGTGTCCCTTGGGAGCTCTGGAGGTCCTCTTGAGGCCATCTTGGAGGCCATCGATCAAAGGAGGAGGAGGAGGTCCCCGATCTAGCCCCCCACCCCAGTATCGCCTCTTGGGGCCCTTTTGGGACGCTCTTGGGCCGCTCTTTGGCGCTCTTGGGGCCGTCTGGGGGTGCCTCTTGGGCACCTCTTGGGGACTCTCTTGGGCCATCTTAGGGCAATCTTGAGGCCTAAAAAGCGCATGAGAAGCGAACAGGCAAGAATGGAAACATCATTGATTCCCTTCAGGTTTTTGAAGGATTGTGGCCTCTTCGAGGGGTCCTGAGGGGACTCTGAGAGCACTTGGAACCGTGGTGGGACCCTCGTCGGGCCTCTTGGAGGTAACGGTATGTCCCAAGCTATCTTGAACCATCTTCGGCTATTTTGAGCCGCCTTGGAGGCCATCTTGGAGCATCGGAGGTCCCTTTGGAACCATCTTGGGGCATCTTGGGCACTCTAACCCTCGCGAAACCGTCAAAATAATCCCACGGAGGGGAAGCTAGAGGGTACCCCTCCCCGAAGGGAGGAGGGTTGTAGAAGAGGAAAGGGAGACATCGTTAGACCACCTTCGCCCAAAGGGCTGGTGGGACTGTGAGCCTCGTCCCTCGAACCGCAAATCGCGAGCCTCGATGCACGACGGCCAGCGACGACGGCGACGTCGTCGTCGCTGTCGTCGTCGTCGTCGCGGATCGAGGAGGCCCAGAGGGTCGAGGGTCGAGGAGGGAGCGAGGATCGACCAGGCTTCTTGGCCCCCTACCGTACCCCCTGCAGGCGCTCGCGTCGCCCCGGCGCGACCCGCCTCGGGATCCTGGAGCCAGCGCGCCACAGGGCAGGTCTCGGTGTCGCCGTCGTTGTCGTTGTCGTCGCTGCCTTCTCGTCGTAGTCGTCGTCGCCGTCGCAGTCGCTGCCTTCTCGTCGCCGTCGTCGTCGTCGTCGTCGTCGTCGTCGTCGTCGTCGTCGTCGTCGTCGTCGTCTACGTCATTGTCGTTGTCGTTGTCGTTGTCGTTGTCGTTGTCTCCGTCGTCGTCGTCGTCGTCGTCGTCGTCGTCGTCGTCGTCGTCGTCGCCGTCGTCGTCGTCGTCGTCGTCGTCGTCGTCGTCGTCGTCCAGGCCTCCAGAGGGCCCCAGAGCCGCGGAGACTCCGGGGGACCTTTGTGTGCTGTCCGGGATCGTCGGGGCGGCGGCGGCGGCGTCGTGGTCGTCGTCGTCGCCCTTGTCGTCGTCGTTGCCGTCGCCGTCGCCGTCGCCGTCGTCGTTGTCGTCGCCGTCGCCGTCGCCGTCTTGTGCGCTCCTGGGCGGCCGCTGCCGGCGCCGCGCCCCACGCGCAGAGGCGGCACCACGGGGGCGCCAGACGACGTGCACCTGGCGGACACGCTGGTCGACCTGGACGCCGTGGGGCTGGACGCCGAGGACTGCGCTTCTGGCGCGCTTTCTGGCTCGAGGGCCAATAACGTTGCATCTTCGGGGGACCTCCTCTGTCCTGAAGTTGCTGTCTTTTCTTGTTGCTTCGACGCGGGTTCGACGCGGACTCGCCGTGAACTCAACGTGGATTCGAGACGGATTTGGCACGGGTCCGGCACGGATTCGACGCATTCGACATGGTTTTGACATGGATGCGACATGGATGGCTGGCGCGATGGGGGACAGACGATGCCCCGTAAAGATCAGAGGTTCAGAGTTATTCTGCACGACTTCTTGACGATTTTCTGGGTCTCTGCATGCCCCTGGGGACTTCCGTGGAGAACCCCTGGGACCTCGGGGGACCTTTAGAGGCCATCGGGGGTCGTTGTGGTAGTCGCCGCCGTCGTCGCCGTCGTCGTCGTCGTCGTCGTCGTCGTCGTCGTCGTCGTTGCCGTCGTCGTCGTCGTCGTCGTCGTCGTCGTCGTCGTCGTCGTCGTCGTCGCTGTCGTCCGTCGTCCACCTCCGTGAGGCCGACCTACGTCGGCTTTCGGGCGTCGGAGCGGACCTCTGGAGGTCTCAGAGAGGGGTGGTCGCCGTTGTCGGCGACGACGGCGGCGTCGGCATCGGCGTCGGCGTTTGATTTTGACGTAGCCGTCGTCGTCGCCGCCGCCGCCGCTGCCGCCGCCGCCGCTGCCGCCGCCGCCGCCGCCGCCGCCGTCGTCGTCGTTGTCGTCGTCGTCGTCGTCGTCGTCGTCGACGTCGTCGACGTCGTCGTCGTCGTCGCGGGGCTGGCGGCGGGGACCGAGGGTTTGTTGTCGGTTCGAGGACTGAGGTTTGAGGTTTCTGGTTCGAGGGTGAGGGTGAGGGGGGAAAGAGAGAGAGAGAGAGAGAGGAAGGATCAGGGTCTCGAGGTCGAGGATCAAGGAGGAGGAGGAGGAGGAGGAGGAGGAGGAGGAGGAGGAGGAGGATGACAACAGGACTCAGGATGCATCGACGATGCTGCAATCCACTGCCCCGTCCCAAGAGTCCCCTCCGCGTGCGTCCTACAAGCGTCCTTCTCACTGCGGGCACCGCTTCGAAAGTCGAGCACCCGCTGGTAGGTGTCGTGTGTGGCTTTCTGGTGAGCTCGCGCGGTGCTAAGGCAAGAGTCGTATGTCAAAAGTGGCCATCCTGCACCTTTGAAGCTGTTTCAAACTCGTAAGGGTAATGTGCGCGTCGCTCAGGCGAGAGCCCCAGCTTGAAATGGAACCGGCCTCCCATCTTTCTGCAGATTTTTTGCGCACTTGTACAGCAAATGTGCGCGGCGCTATAGCGATAGCCGCATTTTGAAAGCCACCGGCCCTTTGTCCGTGAAGCTGCTGAATTCTTGTTTCAGGAATGCTAGTTGCCAAGACGTATCAAGCGAAACGCCAGGCCCAGCCTACGGACACGTCAGGTGGTCCGACAGGTCGATCCACGATTGGAGTTCCACTGGACTCCTCATCCGATGGTCCCTTAATCATCGCCCTCACCGTATCGGCGGAGGCCCGGGAGCCTAAAGCCTCGAGCTCGGCGGCGGCGACGTACGGACGGCGACCCGCCCGCTCATCTGCAGCTGTGCGGCCTACTGAGCCCGCCGGTCTCGGGAGCGCGCGCGCGATGGTTCAGCCCAAAAAGCTTCGCAGAGCGACGACGGCGCTGCCGCCGTGGTCGACGACGTACCCTCAGATCCGGGCGTCGCCAGACAAAACATCGCCACGTTTTTTGTCTGTGCTTTGTTCTTGCTCATGTGTCTGTCATGCGTAATAGAAGCATATCCCCATGTGTATCCACCAATGCTTTATAGATAAATGTATATCTATGATATATGTGTACGCATACATATACACGTATCTGTATGTATATGCATGGGAGGAAGACCACATGTTAACCGATGTATGTACACATGCCCATATTGTTGCATCTGTGTATATATGTACATGTAGATGTACTTACAGACACGCACACATTTACATACATATACATGTGTGTATATATATATATATATTCATATATACACATGCGTGACTGTTTTCGGCCTCCGGGGGCCGTCTCCAGGCCCTGGGGCCGTCGAACAACGGCTCGCGGGATGGAGAGCTTGTCCTGGAAAAGAGGTCGTGATTCCTGGGGTCCCACGATCTCCGAACATATACACGCCGTCGGAGGAGAGGTTGCTCGAGGGTCTCGCCTTCGACACATCCTCGTCCCTGGCGGAGGCCGGTGGAAGGCCAGCGGAAGCCGGCGGAAGTAAACCGCGCTGGCGGGTTCTGCGGCGGAAGACCGGCGGAAGGCGGCGGAAGTACAAGCGCGGCGTCAGCATTTGTTTCGACTGCACGCAGGAGTGACCTTTTCGCCGGAGTGACCTTTGGTGTGGGCCCGCTGGGGTCCCACGTTCGACGAACGCGATGTCATAGTAGCGTCTTGCGCGTTGGTTTGGCTCTCCCCCCCCCCCCCGCGCGGCGTCCCGACAGCCGCGCGCCGAAGATTACTCTTGCCTTGGGTCGTTCTTGCGTGTGGCCGACTGTTGGGTCAGGGTTTCCAAGGAGCCCCCCCCCCACGACGAAGTTCTCCTCGTGTGAGCTCTCGCCGGTCCCAGGGGGGGGGGTAAGAGAGCTGCTCAGGAAGACGAGCCTGCCCTCGAGACCTCTAGGGCCTGTCTAGGAACAGCAAGGCGGCATCGGGTCTCTGCTGAGGGGGGGGGGGGCACGCATCTAAACAATCGAAGCCCTGGCTTGCTGTGGATTTCCAGAACGCTCCCAGAGCGCTTCCAGAGCGCTCGGGATCGGCCGCGGCGCCGCCGGGGGGCCTCGCTGGCCCAGGGGCCGTCAGAAAACTGCGCACTACTGAAACCCAATCCTGGGGAATAGGTTCGGGACTTACGCTGTCGACCCCGCGCTGAGCAAAATCAAGACCTCGGATCTCTGGCACGTCAGGAAGAGGACACATTCGGGCGGAGATCCAATGGGAATCCATCAGAGTCAGCGGGTCGGAAGACGTCTCGAGCGCCGCGGCCGATCCAGAGCGCTCTGGATCGCTGTGGGAGCGTTCTGGAACTCCCCAGACATCTGAGGCTTTGATTTTTTGGAGGCGTGCCCCCTCAGGCCTGTCGACCCCACAGATCAGATGTCTTGTTTCGGCGGCGACGATAAGGGCGAACAGCCCAGTGGCGGGCATTACACGTATTCGCGAGGGAGCCTTGTCGAAGACATAGATCATCGGCACCCCTGGATACATCTATTGCTCCCCCCTGGGCTATTCGCCCCTATCGTCGCCTCCGATTGTTGTCTTTAGAACGGCCCCCCTGGAAGTCTCGATTTTCGTCCCGAGCAGTTTTTTTACGGTCCCAGGGCATGGCGAGGGACCCCAGGGGCCGAAAACGCAAAGCACTGTCGTCCTGGTTTTTGCGGGACGTTGGATGTCTGGGACTCGTGGGCGGGAAAGATATCCTTATCCGCGGCCTCGCGGGTTGGGCCCCTGGGCCGCGAATACAGGCCGCTATTTTGCGAATGCCCTGGGCGGAGCGTATCCGTGCGACCGCGTATCCGCGGGATCGCGCCCCAGATTCCAGACCGCGAGGGCGCGGATACGGATTTGTTCGCCGCTCGTGGGGGACCCCGCCGGCGTTTGCCGACAGCGATGCAACCCGCTCTCCCCCAGGGCCCTGGGCAGCCTGCTGCGCGGGATGCCGGGCCCTCGCCGGCGAGGCCTCGCGCCCGCCTTCCCCTGGCCCCTCGGGGTGCCCGCGCCGCCGGGGATCTCGTCGGCCGCGTGCCCCGGCGCTGACGCCGTCGGTGTGCCGCCGCCGCGGCCGCCCGCGTCGCTGCGGTCGTCGCCGCGTCCGCCGCCGCTCGCGTCGCCGCGGTCGTCGTTGTCGCCGCCGCCTCCCCTCATAGCTGGGCACCGCACGATACAGATGCATGTATCGATGCTAGCCAGCGTGGACCTCGAGCGGTGTGTCTTTAGCAATCTACGTTGTGGAATTTCTGTGGTGCAAGTAATTTCGGTTCGCAGTGAGTTGTCCACTCCAGTGCTGGCGCAGTCATCCCACCTACCCACCCGCAATTTGGTTTGCAAAACCCATGCGGCGGCGATTGTGATGATGAGTGCTTGGATTTGGCTGGTGCATCTCTGCAGCCGCGCTAGCCGCATACTCGCGCGCGCAGCGGCCAGAGAGTCTGGCGGTAACGACGCGGCCGCGGTGGTGCTCACCGCTGGGCACTTCTCAGCGGCCACTTCCGTGCGAGTCGGCGACTTGGGCGGGCGCGGTAGCATGGCACCGCCGACAACGGTAGATGCGATGATGATGGTGGCGATGCTGGTGACGATGGTGACAGCGACGACGGCAGAGCCATTGATGTCGCCGATGATGATTGCGCCGACGACGATGATGACGCCCTCCTGTCGTTCATGCAGGTTTTGGAGGGGTTTCGACATGCACGCGCGGCCGACGCGCGAGAGTTGCCCGCATGGTGCTATTTGACACGGATTGTGCCCCCCCACAGCACGCGCGCAAAGACTTTGACTGATTTCGACGTGCGTCGCGAGGGGCCCGTTTGGTTGAATTTGGCGAACATGTTGAACAACCCATGGTTTCCAAGAGTTTGCAGGAGCGCGAGCGTAGGTATTTTTGAAAACTGTTGTTGCAAAGCCATGTGTTTTAAATGCTGTCGGGACACTCGGCTTGGAAATCCTTGCGACGCCCAAGGTTTTTGACAGATTCCCGCAGGCGCGCGCGCCGACGCGCGCGTGTGCACTTCGTCGCATTTTTTTGCAAGGGGCTCTTGCGACAGCACGCGCGCAAGGGCGTTCGAGCGATTCCGGCATGCGCGCGCAAGGGGCCCGTTTGGTAGCGTGTTATGAAGATGCTGAACATCTATGGTTTTCTGAAGAATTTACAATCGCCCAAGCGCGAGCTTTTTCTTGCTCATTCTTGTTGCGAAGCCACGTGCTGTCATATGCTTCTGGGGCACTCGACATTGAACTCCTTATGACGCTTAAGGCTTATTAGTGACTCCGGCATGCGCGCGCGACGACGCGCGCGTGTGCACATTCTTGAACGAGTTTTGATAAGCGAGTGTGTGCGCGTGGTTTTTTGCAGAGGATGAGGGGGGGGCGTTGCCTGTTTGTTTGGCTGGGATGATGCGAATTCATTTTCGGATGGACGGTGGGACAAAATCATAAGTGAATAGCAGTGCGTAAAGGTGACCCGTTAAGACCTGGGGGGGACCCAAAATCAATTTTTTCTCGCGCTGAGTTTTCCATTTCATTGCTCGCACAATCAGCCCACCCGGCCGCCTGCAATTTGGCTTGCGCAAGCCATGCGGCGGAGATGGCGATGAGTGCTTGGAGTTGACTGGCGCCGCTCTGCGTCCGCGCTAGCCCGCGCATGCTCGCGCGCGCAGTGGCCAGCTAGTGCGGCGCGACCGACGCGGTTGCTGTGGTGCTGGCCGCCGGGCTCTTTCCAGCGGCCACTTCCGTGCGAGTCGGCGAATTGGTCGGGCGCGGTAGCATGGCGACGCCGACAGCGGTAGACGCGATGATGATGGTGGCGATGTTGGTGGCGATGGTGGCAACGACTACGACCGGATCGGACCAGTGGCGGCTACTGTGGCGCGGCCGACGCAGCAGCGGTTGCGCTGGCCGCTGGGCACATCCCAGCGGGCACTTCAGTGCGAGTCGGCGACTTGGGCGGGCGCGGTATCATGGGCGCGTCGACAACGGTAGACACGGTGATGATAGTAGCGACGCCGGTGACGATGCTGGCGCTTGACGACGGCGCGGCCAGTGACGGCGCGGATGCTGATCGCGCCGACGACGATGACGGCGTCCTCGCGTCGATGATGGAGGTTTTGGAAGGAGTCCGACGTGCGCGCGCGGCCGACGCGCGAGAGTGGCCCGCATGGTATTATTTGACACGGATCGTGCCCCCCCCCCCCCCCCCCCGCGCGCAAAGTGATTTCGCCATGCAGCGCCAGAGGCCCGTTTGCCAGGATTCGATGAACATGCGGAACAACAGAGAGATGGTTGTCTCAAGAATTCGCAATAGTGCGAGCGCGCCTTTTTCCCCCCCCCCCCCCCCCCCCGAAAACTGGTGTTGCGAACTCACGTCTTTCAATATTTTGTTTGGACAGTCGGTTTTGAAATCCTAACGAAACTTGCGGTTCAAAACAGATTTCAGCACGCGGGCAAAACAACGCGCGCGCACTTCGCCTAAGTTTCGGCAGTTGGTTCTCGCGACGGCACGCGCGCAAAACGCGTTCGAACGATTTCGACATGCGCACGCAAGCCCGTCTGGTACCATTTTATGGACATTCCGAAAAACCGACTGGGAATTCGCGAGAGCGCGCGTGCCAGTTTTTTTTCTCCGTGCTGCGAAAACCTGGCTATTTATATGTTTTCTGGGCACTCGATTTTGAAATCTTCACGACACCGAAGGTTTTCGAAGGATTCCGGCATGCGCGCGCGACGACGCGCGTGTGTGCACTGTTGTGTTGTTGATATTTATGAACAAATGGTTGTTGATAAGCGAGTGTGCGCGCATGGTGTTTTTTTGTGAAGGACGGCGGGGGGGTCCGATACCGCCCCCCTGGGATGGTGTAGTTTCATTTTTCGGATGGACGATGGGGCAGAAGTAAATTTAAGCTGTAATACGAAAAGGGGATGTGATAATCCTGGGGGGGTGGTCGAGTTTATTTTTTCTTCGAACAGAGAATTATGATGTGCCATATGGGGCGTCGACGAAGCGGCGACGGGGCGGTGACGGCAGCCACATAACCGCCAGACCGAAGACATGGCCCAGACGAAGGGCGGCGGCGAGGCGGCGACAGGGCGGTGACGGCGGCCACATGACCGCCAGACCGAAGACAGGGCCCAGACGACGTGCAGCGACGAGGCGGCGACGGTGCGGCAACGGCGACCATGTAGCCGCCAAACCGAAAATTCGGCCCACTTCCTTGGAACAAACGCAACACACCCAAAGTGCAACAATTCAATCATTGTTTAGGGAGTATATGTGTATGGGTGTTCTCTTGTATTGATGTGTATATGTGCGTTTCTTTGTATGTATGCATGCATGCATGTATGTATGTACGTCTGTACGTATGCGTGCAATGCTGTCTGTCTGAGAGTATACGTATACATCGACACAATACAACCACACAAACATACTGCATACATATATATATATTTATATACATATTTACATACATATATGTATATATATATATGTATATATACAGATGTACATCTGTTTCGGTTTTTGGGTTTTCGGCCTCTGGAGGCTGTCCCCTGGCCGCCGGCCCGTGCGTCTCGGGAAGGAAAGCTAGCCGACCCCAGGGAGGGGGGGTCGAGATCCCTGGGGGCCCACGTTGCGGATAAATTGTGATGTTGGAGCTGTGAGGGTCCCTCGTCAACGTGGTCGCCGCCGCCGCCCGTCGCTGCCGGCGGCCGTCGTCGTCGCCGTCGTCGTTGCCTCGCTCGCCGCTGTCGCCGCCAACGCCGCACGCCCAGAGCTCCAGAGGGCTGCTCTTTCCAGCCGCGGCGTTCCCCCTTCGCGCGGGCCCCTCTGGAGCCCATCCGCGGGCCCTCGGGGCCGTCGAAACAGGATCTGGTGGTCCTGCTTTCCACCACCACCACCCTAAGTTGGAGGTCGGGAGGAGGTCCTCTTCCTCTTCCTCCTCCTCCTCCTCCTCCTCCTCCTCTTCGTCCTCCTCCTCCTCCTCGTCCTCCACCTCCTTCCCCCTCCAAGTTATGGTGGTGGTGGAAAACAGGCTCATCAGGATCTGGTTGCGGCTGCAGTTGCGGAAGGGTTCCCCCGAGG